GCAGGCCTCTCTCCCAGGGCGGCCCAGACCTCCAGCCGTCACCTGCATCCTGTCACTCACACCGTCTCTCCAAGAAAACGGAGGGCGGCGCCTTGCCGGTGCCAGTCACCGCGTGTGCCCCACTCTGTCCAGGCTGCTCCCCGGCTTGCACTGTCCTGCTCCCTCCTCCCGAACTCCTCTTCATCCTGCAAGGCCCCTTCCCCAGGGTCTGCACCAACAGGAAGCTCCATTTTCTCAGGTCTTTCTTCTCCAAGCACAGCTTGCCTCTGAGCAACCCTCAGCATTTTCTGTCTCTCCTTGTTTTACATGACTCTTCCTCTAACAATCGGGGAGATTCTTAAGGATAGAATCCACATCTGTTTCATCTTTTTCCCTCACAAAATGTTGCATATGTCTTGGAACATAACAAGGGCTTAATGAAGCTGTTTAATTAATTACCTAATTGCTTAAATCCCCAAATCTACCTCAGTTAACTCCCAGAAATGACTCTCACGTAGCACGTACAAAAGGCTCACAGAAGCATTACACAGAAAACCCGGACACAACCCAGCCTCCGCAATGCAGAATGGATGAATAAACTATCATATAGTCAGACAATGAAATCTCATCCGGCCATGAAGATGATCAGCTACAAACAATACCATCTCATCAGCTGTGGAGCAAAAGAGGCCAAACACAAGAGTACCTGCTGTCCCCATTCACAGGGAACTGGCCAAGGATGCCCGGGTGTATGTGTGGGGCGGGGGCGGGATTGGCTCTGGAAAGGGGGGAAGAAACGCGGGAGGAAACGCATCCGCACAGGGCTCTGTTCCCCTAACGGTGTCCTCTGTGCCTGTCACACTGCGGTGGGCAAGGTGTGGTGCTGAAACTGGCTCAGCCGGCCCTACAGTGAGTTCTGCAGGTCGGGCTCCTTCCAGCGGGTCCAGCGCCCCTGCCCCAGGCTCTCTCCTGAGCCCCGCAGGCCACCACTCACTGTGAGGAAGAGAAGAGCTTGCCGGGCCGCAGTGCAGCCAGTCGATTCCTCCTGGGAAGTGGCGTGTGGCCGCAGCCCTTCAGCTGACCCACAGGTGCTGCCCCCACCCCCACCCCCGTTTGTTCGCAGCCTCCAGTGTGTCCTGTGGGGTTTCCTCGGAATCATAGCCCAAACCGGAATTTAGGGTCCAAAGTGAACTTGAGGACAAGGCCCCTCCTGTGGGCAGGGATCTGAAGCCCCCCCCCCCCCCCCCCCGCACTCCTTTGAACCCCACTCCTCCCGGTCTGGCTCTGAGCTGGTTGAAAAAAATTTACTTTTTTCGGCGGCGGGGGGGCTTAACCCCCGGGGGTTGGGCCCTAACCCCCCTGGAAACGGGAGAAAGGAAGG